ACCAGTAATTTCTTTGAGCCTTGTAAAAATGGAGTTGTGAGGAGTCTCTTATCTTATATGCTCTGGGATCTGTGCCTGGCAGACAGCAAGCCCTGATAAGGACTAAGCATTTCTAAGCATGTTCATAATGTTCCTGGAATCATAAAGCTGTGTTTCTGATGATTCACACGAGACTCATAAGTAGGGAGGGCCTACTATGTGTCTGCTGCTATGGGAAACCATACAACCTGAGCGTACACAGGCGCACACACACGCATGTGCACATATATACTTAGGGAGGTAAGCAGTTTGATTTTCACTTTTTAAAACCTTGATTTTAAGGGGCTGGAGAGATGGTTCGATGGTTAAGAGCATCAGCTGCTCTTCCAGAGGACCTGGGTTCAATTTGCAGCACCCACATGACAGCTCACAACTGTCTGTAACTCCAAGATCTGACAGCCTCACACGGACATACATACAGGCAAAACACCAATGCACATAAAATAATAAATAAATAAACAATATAAAAACAAATAATAAAACCTTGATTTTATAAAAACAAAGCAGAAGCAAAAAGTCAAATTAAATGTATAACTTTGCTGGTTGTGGTGGCGCATGCCTTTAAACCCAGCACTTGGGAGGCAGAGGCAGGTGGATCTCTGTGAGTTTGAGGCCAGTCTGGCCTACAGAGACTCTGGTACACAGAGAAACCCGTTCTCAAACAACAACAACAAACAAACAAAAGAGTTATTTCTCAGGTAGGGAGAGATGGCTCAGCAATTTAGAGCACTTTCTGCTCTTCCAGAAGACTGGGTTCTCCTAGCACCACATGGCAGCTGTCAATCATCTGTAGCTCCAGCTCCAGGGAACCCAATGCCCTCTTCTGGCCTCTGAGGGTGGTGCACAGACACACATGCAGGCAAAGCACCCACAAACAGAAAATAAAAAACAAATCATTTCTAAAAGGACTTATTTCAAGACAGGCATGGCACGCATAACTGTTGACCTGGGTTTGACCCTGGGACCTACATGGTGACTCCTGTAGGTCGTCCTCTGATCTCCACACACGCATGGTGATGACACACACACACACACACACACACACACACACACACAAAAGGAACACATGTAATTTTGAAAGAGTATAATTTGTGGCCAGGTGTGGTAGCTCCTCTCTGTAACCCCAGAACGTGGGAGGCAGAGGCAGAACTGCTGCAAGTTTGAAGCTACCCTGCTCTACACAGGGAGTGCCAAGCTAGCCAGGGTTACAGAGCAAAACCCTGTCTCAGAAACAGGGGTCGGCGTATCCGCGAGCTGCATTTATATGCTTATACATTTCATTTTTAAATGGTCTCTTTAATCATGCCAAAAATCCCACTGTAAGTATATACAGCTGAAAACGGCACAGGCACTCCTAGCCACAGCAGCACACTAGCAATGCCAGGATTTATTTCTTTGGAGGTGGGACAAAGCTCGGAGAGCAGGCTGTTTGCAGCCTTCCAACCCAAGATGCAGGATAAGCTGCCGCCTTTGATAACCTTTCTGCTCTGGAGTGGGGTGGTCACCGTTAACAGACATTCTGAGTCACAGTGTGCCCAATCTCTGCACAAGCCACTCCTCTACACAAGGCTCACCGCCCTCCTTTACGCTCGGGGAAATGGGTCTTTTCAATGTGATATGTCAGGCCTGCTACTTCTGAGTGTCCAAGACAGAAAAGAATGCAGAAGTTCAAGTCTCTACTCGACCTCTTAATTGCTCTGTAATCATGGACAGTGTATTGCCCTTCCTTGATCTGAGCCTGCTCTCCAACCTCCGAAGCCACAGAGCCCAACTGTGAATGGCCTCGACGACAAAGTAAAAGTTGGCACTGTGCTGTCGTAGATTTGAGTTCAAATCCAGCTCGTCTCAGATCGCTTTCTGAACTGGAATGTCCTGTTCTGTAATCAGCCATCTCCTCTGTTCCTGTCCACCGGATTATTAGCAGGCATAAGTCAGATGGTCGGAGCCCAGTGCTTCACGGTATCCAACTGCTCCTCAGGAAGAAACTCTGGCTCTTGCCTTATTTGAGATCCTTCCTCCATTTCTAACCATTCACTGTGAGCAAGGGAAGTTCCCCATACTCACCGCGCTGATCGCCCCCTGCTGTCAGCATCTAGAACTGCAGCCTGTGCTCCCAGTGCCCGCCGTAGACCTGGACCTTGGTTAAAGATGGGTTTAATCTCAACACCTAGGACAGCAGGGTCCAAAGCGTTGCTACATATCAACCGTCTATTTGTTCAGCTTGAGGAAAGTTTTGTCTTACAAGCCATTTTACTGGCTTTTTTTTTTCCTCAGGAAGACTATGTTGGTTACTTTTCTGTTGCTGGGATAAAATAGTTCCACAGAACCAGAATGAACTCTTCCTGTCTTAAGCCAGGGAACGGTCCCAGGTAAAGTCTTCCTACTTCAATGAACACGACTAAGGTAATGCTGTACAGGCACTTTGCCGGTGGTTCTAGAGTCTGTCGGGGCAACAATTAGCACTCATGGATCTAGAAGCTCTGGGAGTTTGAAAGGCTTGGCCAAGGTCATATTAGATCACCAGATTTTGGTGGCTGAATAATCAACCATGCCCTGCCCCTTGAGATGTCCTCATCACAGCCTCTGAAACACACAGCTATTCTGTGGGGTAAAGAGGGGATGTAGATGTGATTAAGGTTCTCTCTTTTTTTTAAGATTTATTTATTTATTATGGATCCAGTGTTCTGTCTGTGTGTATTCCTGCAGGCCAGAAGCGGGCACCAGATCTCATTACAGATGGTTGTGAACCACCATGTGGTTGCTGGGAAATAAACTCAAGTCTATCTGGAAGGAGCAGTCAGCGCTCTTAATCTCTGAACCATTTCTCCAGCCCATGATTAAGGTTCTTGAGATAGGGAGCTTAATTCTGGGTTAACAGGTGGGCCCAATGTAATTGCAAAAGTTCTAAGTAGGAGGCAGAAGGACGGTTGTGATGGTGAAATAATCTAAGTAGGAGGCAGAAGGACGGGTGTGATGGTGGAATGCTCTCAACTGCTTGGGAGGTTAAGACAGGAGGATGGGAGAGGTACTGAAATAGTCTCAGCTTCTCAGGAGCCTGAGGCAGCGGCTTTGGAAGTTCAAGTCCAACTTGAGTAACTGTCTCACAAACAAAACAAAAATTTGAGACAAGGTTTTATTTCATGGCTCTGGCAGTCCTGGAACTCATTATGTAAACCAGGCTGGCCTCAGACTCACAGAGATCCTCCTGCCTCTGCTCCCGGAGTGCTGAGACTAAAGGCACTAGCACCACAATGCCCAGATTTCTCAGATATTTGAATATGACTGAAAGAAGAGACATGCACATTCACACTTATAATCCCCGCACATCCAAACCGGCACAGGAGGACTGAGAGTTTGAGGTCAGCCTGGACCACAGCAAGTTCCAGATCAGGCTGGGCTATGAGACACTACCCTAACAAACAAACAGCCCTTCTGCCAAATCTTAAAAGACTTATGTAGTTTAGCAATAAAACATTTGGCTAGCATAAACAATGGTCTGAGTTCGAACCCCTGCACACACTCACACACACACACACACTCATGAAGGAGCCAGGAGTCATTCATTCGTAGCTGTGAGAGCCGAAACAAGATGGTGCAGCAATGTGGGGAGGGCCAGAGATGGAGTAATACCACAAGCCTCTACAAGTACCCAGAGAGGATGTAGCATTGCCGACTCCCTGGTATCTTTAGTAGGGCAAGAAAACCCATTTGTGTTGTTTCCAGTCACCAGGTAGTGATTTGCTGTAGGAGGAATTTGAAACTAATACTTAGATCTGTGGTGAGGGGAGCGACAGGACACCTATTTAAATTGGGGTGTCTGAGAAACAACAGTTTCCAAAGTCTGAGCATGTCCCAAATGTTACATAAGACACATTGTCTTAAAAATAGACTTCTGTTTATCTGAAATTCAAATTAACTGAGTGTTCTACATTTTATTTGGCAACCTAGAAGTTGGGGATTGGAGAGAACCTAGGATCACAAGTCTCACAAGTTGCAACCTGGGGTGACTGGTACACATTTATATGCCCAGCCCTCAGGAGATAAAAGCACCAGGATCGTGAGTTGGGGGCCAGCCTGGTCTACATGATGAAACCCCATACTAAAAACAACAAACAAACAAACAGATAAACACAATTTAGGATTCCCAGACCACTTCACACTTCTCCCCCGCAGGCAATTTGGCATCTGGAAAAACCCAGTGTCCTTACATCCCTCCTGGACCCTTCCCACAGCCCTAAGACTCCTCTTAACCATAAGGAAGGGAAAGGAAGAGGTGCCTTAAGGTCATTCCTTTGGATCTGACATTCTCTTGGACCACCAGAATTTTTCCAGAAATGGTTTGTTGTCCTTATCGTACCTGAAAGAGGAACCTCAGAGATTTGCCCCCAAATTGCAGTTGTACAAAACAGGGATATGTATGTAGTGAGGGTAGTTCATGGGCCAGGCACGGAGCTAGTGAACTCCCTTTCAAACTATGGGTGTCTGGAGACAACCTCGTGAGCCCCAAAGCAGGAAACAGGTAGTTACTGAGTCAGGAACCGTGTTATTCAGGAAGAACTGACTCCAGGAGGCTAGGCATCAAAATGGCTCAAAATGGCTCAGCTGATGGTGTACTGACTCTGGACAGCCAGGTCACAAGTCAGCAGAGGGCCAAGGCGTTCTGGAATGCAGATTCTGAGGTCTGGGTCTGAAACCGGTTACAGCATCTCTGCCTCTTCCCTGTCGTGAAGCAGGGGATTTGCAAAAACAGGACAATTTAAAGAGAAAATGATGCAAACACTAGGCATGCTGAGGCAGTATGTTCTAGGGAAGCAGCTGCTTTCCTCCTCCAGGCCTCAGTTTCCCCTGTCAACACACCCGGTTGCACAGCCGGGGCCACCAGGTGGGGACAGACCCAAGCCAACGCTGCCGCGTTCACTCAAGCGCGCTCCCGGGTGGGCACCGCCTTCGCGCGCCCGAACGTCACTTCCGGCGCGAGGGCCGGGCGGGCCGGCTGCGGAGTGTGGGTTTGTACTGCGCTCTGCCAGCCGAGGCTCCTGCCGCCGAGACCCGCGCTCCGCCTGCCGCCGGGCTGGTGAGTGCCCGCTAGCCTGTGCGTGCGCCCAGGGGCCAGAGTTAGGGAACCCCAGAGGGCAAAACTGCCGGAAGTGAGCCAGAGGGGCGGGAGACCCCAGGAAATGGGGACACCTGGGGAGGGGGCTACCGCCGGAAGTAGGGGCCTTGGACCGCTGTCAGCGGTTCGAAGGTCTCTGGGGCTCCGAGAGAGATGGTTTCCGGCCTCCGGTTGTTTGGGGAGAGAGGGAATGCTCCACGTGGAGATGGCTCCAGGTGGGGAGGATGCTAGGTTTTATCTCCTGTCCCCAAGGCCACCCATCACGTCGTTCCCCAGACTGACAGCCACTGCTGAGCCCTTGGGGATACAACAGGAGGCTGCAGGTGGAGGAGAGAGAAGATGAGGCCAGGGTGGGGCTTGACACTTCTCTCTGCCTCACTGGGCAGGTCTTGCTGTTCTTCCCTTGATGTTTACTGAGTGCTGTCATGAGCCGGCACTGGGGGCTGTGGTGAGCCTGGTCTCTGCTCTGTTGGGATCCCCACGGTAGGGGGTGAGTGCTGGCTCCGTATCCTGAAGATGAACTGTGGAGTTGACAATAGAGTTGAGCAGTGGAGTGGTGCCTAGCATGTGCAGGGCTGTGGGTTCGATCCCCAGCAGCCCACAGGAGGAAATAAGACAATGGATGTACGATACAGAGTTTGACTCAAAGCAAAACCCTGAAGCATGCATGACCTCTTTCCATCAGACCACTGTGATGTAAGCTGCACAAGGCAGGGATGAAGGTTTTCCATTGTGTTCCTAGCATAGTCGGCACAGTGCCTGACACCTGCAAGAGGCAGTCAGTAATTCTCTGATAAATGAACCAGTGGGAACTGACTCTGAAGGGTTTCACGTAAACACCTGTGACACCGAACAGACATTTCTAAAGCGCGATGGGAACCCAGGACTGTGGAAACCTGGAGGGACTCACCCTGAGGAAATCGGGGAAGCTTTACAGAATAGATGACCTCGCAGCTGGGCCTTGATGATCATGAGTTGTGTGGTTGGTGGCGAACATGGAAAGGACATTTCATGCAGTGGGTATCGGATGTGTGAGCTACTCCAAGAATCAAGGTCACTGGTTTGTCTCCCCTGGCAGAGGAGGGGTGGAGGAGGAAAGGAGAGGGCCTTTAAGGCTAGTTCTCTGACCTGTGACACTACAGTTCATCTCAGGTAGGCTGTGGGTTGGGATTCCAGGGATACCTGTTGGCGACTGCCATGGAAACAGCCCAGGGTGGAGCCTGTGAAGGCAGGAGTGTCCCTTCCCTTGCTCAGCACACTCTACGTAAAGTACAGTAAAGGATTAGGTCATGGAGCCTCTATGTCTTAAGACCCTGTTAGGTGCTACGAGGTGTTGCACAGCGATCACGGGATATCATACACTGGTTACGTGAACACGTGACAAGAACTGGAGATGTAATCCACAGAGCTCCTGCCCAGGCAGCTCAGGCAGCCTGGAGTGAGTGAAGGCCAGCTTCTTCATGTCACGGTCCCCTTTTGCCTGGGTTGTTGTTGAACCTTCTATGCCAGCACTTCATTACGGTCCACTCTTTAAATTAAAGTTACTTTTCATCATTTCTGTGATGTACACATGGCCTCTAAATCCATCTGCTTTCCCCCATCTTGCTTCCTTAGTTCTAGCTACACTGGGCATCTTTTTTTTTTTGTTTGTCTGTTTTGTTTTGTTTTTGGAGACAGGGTTTCTCTGTGTAGCTTTGGAGCCTGTGCGGGCACTAGCTCTGTAGACCAGACTCACCTTGAACTCACAGAGATCCGCCTGCCTCCCAAGTGCTGGGATTAAGTCATGAGCCACCACCGCCCAGTTTACACTGGGCATCTTGCTTTTCAGAAAAGCTAGGCATTTTTCAGATACCCTCACACAACCATGTGATATGTTTGGCCCACCCTGCCATCTTTGCTCAAATGTTACCCTGTCAAGTCTTCCCTGGCTGCCCCCATTTAAAACCAATCTTGATCCCCCCCCCCACTTCTGTTCTTCATAATAGTAAGCTGTGTGTTATGTATTATGGTTAGAAACTGTCTCCCATTTCCACTGGGCTCAACAAGACGGGATTTTTTTTTCTTTGCTTCTACTTACTGTGCCTGGGGGGTGGGGGGGACCAGACATCGTTAAGTGTCTCATATTCATTGGATGCATGTGTGTCACCCAGTCAGGACTCAGGGTGAGTCTGTGTGGGTTGAGAGATGCTGGAGTAAGAACACACCATTGAGAGGGACCAGAATATGCACGGAATGAGGACACATCTTTGGAAGCAAGTGAAAGAACCTAGTGTGACTAGATGCTGGAATTCAAGTAATGGAGTGGGCGATCCTAAGATTTGGTGGGAGTGGCCTGCTTGGTCACTATCCGCAGTGGACCGGAGGGAGTTCAGCCAGGTGCACCCAGGACATTACAGGTATGTACAAGGAAGGACTCTTGAGATGGCCCCTGCTCTCCTTGTTGAGCATGGGGTGGAAGATCAGTGTCCACGCATGGACAAAGGCTTAGGCTCTGCAGCCAGGGAGTCCTGCTGCCAGCCGATTCCAGGACAGCTCAAGCTGTCCTGTTTTCATCCAATAGTGTTTAGCACAGGTTTTCCAGGAGCAAGCCCTATGGATCAGCAGATGGACGGGCAGTGTGTGGAGTTTATTGGAGTGCCTCCACAGATTCAAGGAGATGAGGAGGAGCCTTGGGTCCGTGAGGCAGATCTGGCCCCTGTGACGGAGGTGTAGGCAGGAGGAATCCAGCTATATCAGTCTCTCTGGGTCAGTCACTGGCTGGGGGTAGGGATGGGGGCTGTTGTGTTTGTAGAAACCGTGGCTTTAATAGGATAGGGCCTCTGAAGGGACTGCAGCGGGGTCTTTCAGTTACATTTCCATGATCTCCATAGTAAGTTACATTGTAAAACTTGGGCAAGCTAGACATGGTTGCACATACCTGCAATCCCAGCACTCCAGGGGCTGAGGCAGGAGGCTAGCAAGTTCCAGACCATCTTGAGGTACCTAGTGAGACTCTGTTTCTCAAAAACAAACTCTTAAATGTCCAGTTGTTCAGATCTGTTTCTTTGAGGCACTTTTGGTAAGTTTCTTATCTCCTACACAAAATTGTTCTGTACTCTTGTGGCTTTTTCCTCCTGCAAAGGTCAGTTCGTGAAGCTCTGCATCTGTGTGTGTGTGTGTGTGTGTGTGTGTGAGAGAGAGAGAGAGAGAGAGAGAGAGAGGTCTTCCTTGATCAATCTCCACCTTATTTTTTTATTTATTTGGCGGGGGGGGGGGGGACGACGACCTACTGTGGAAGCAGACTCGCATCCCTGGAGACTGGGCATCTAAACAGCACCTTGGGCAGTTTGCTGACTGAACGCTCTCAACAGCCTAGTTTTGAATTTCAGCACTGACAAACTGCTCTCTGGGAAAGACTCAGTTTATATTCTCACCAGTATTTTAGAGGATGTGTTCCTTATTTTTGAACTGGGTCTGAATCTCAAGGGTGTTTGCATTCACATTTATGTAACAAGTCAAGCCCCTAGTTAGACCCTTCCAAGGAAGGCGCAGTGTTTGGCTGTTGGATTTGACTTAGGTATGTGACTCAGATCAAGACCACTCCTCCTTGGGATTCCCTGAGGTAACTTGACAAAAACTCCCTGTCACCCATTTCCCGCTCTTGGGGTTCCAAGTAAGCAATGTTTCACCTTAAAAATTACAGACATGGGCTGGAAAGATGGCTCAGTGATTCAGTTTCCAGCACCTACATAGCATCTGATACCTGTCTGTAACTCCAATTCCAGGGCTTCTGACACCCCCCACACAGACATACATGCAGGCAAAACACCAATGAACATAAAGTAAAAATAAATTTAAAAAGATTGACTCAAAAATAAAGGTAAATGAACAAATAGAATACTAATAATAAACATAATTTTTGAAACATTACATGTACGCATACATGCGAGTTTGTGAGCGTAGGGGCAATAGGCTCCTTTCGCCTTTCTGTGGGTTCTTGGGATCATACTCCAGTCATTGGGTTGTGTGACAAAAATACCTGTTGAGCCATCACGAAGGCCCATGTTGCACTTTCTTACCCTCACATGTGACCTGTGTGTCAGCAGGAACCCCCATAGCTAATGTCAGAAGAAAGCGACTCTCTGCGAACCAGCCCCTCTGTGGCCTCCCTCTCTGAAAATGAGCTGCCACTGCCTCCACCTGAGCCTCCCGGCTACGTGTGCTCCCTGACAGAAGACTTGGTCACCAAAGCCAGGGAGGAGCTTCAGGAGAAGCCCGAGTGGAGACTCCGGGATGTGCAGGCCCTTCGAGACATGGTGCGGAAGGAGTACCCCTACCTGAGCACTTCGCTCGATGATGCTTTCCTGTTGCGCTTCCTGCGGGCCCGAAAGTTTGATTATGACCGGGCCCTGCAACTGCTGGTCAACTACCATGGCTGCAGGCGGAACTGGCCGGAGGTCTTCAGCAACCTGAGACCTTCAGCCCTGAAAGATGTTCTTAACTCTGGGTTCCTCACAGTGCTGCCCCACACGGACCCCAGGGGCTGCCACGTCCTCTGTATCCGACCAGGTACTGGGGGAACGTGTGATCCCTCTGGGGCGGGTCTGTTCTTCACCCTGCTTTCTCTCAAAGTCCCCCACTTGATTGTTTTAGTGAAGGTACTTTTCTGGTTTGGTTTTGGCTTTTTAAAAACAATCCAGGCTGGTCTTAGACTCAGTATGCAGCCATGGATGATCTTAGACTCCTGACTCTTCCTGCCTCTCCCTCCCAAGTGCTAAGATTTTAAGTGTGTACACCATGCCTGCCCCAAAGCTCTTTTGACTACAGATGACAAACCATCTTCAGACTAACTGAGGACCACAGAAAGATCTGAGCCAATGAGGCGGGAACAGCCCCCAGATGCACCATACTGAAGTTGCTGCTAGAGCCCAGAGCACAGGTCCTCAGGTCTATCTGCTGGGCACAGACAGCTTCTTCATATTCTTTACCCTGAAGGACAGCAACGCTCTCAGACTCACCTGGTCACTCAGTGAGCTTCTGTCAGTGCAAACTCAGATTTCCAAGGGAAGGAATCCAGTGGGCTGAGGAATCGTGGGATACAGGCATGATTGCCAAGCCCCTCCCAGTGCCTCCTCTGAGTGGGCTGAGGACAGATAGAGAAGCAAGACAGTGTGGGCCGGGCAGAAGCCTGGGAAGGTACCCACTCTCTGCTCCTTCCCCTCCTTCCTCTGTGGGGTTAAACCCTGACAAGGGCTATATATTGTTATTTATTTGTTTATACTTACTTACTTAGTTTAGTTAGTTAGTTAGTTAGTTTAGTTAGTTAGTTAGTTTTGCAGCGCTGGACTGGAACCCCGGTGTGCACCTGCTGGCAGGAGCTGTACCACTGAGCTAAGATCAAAACCCCTTGACTCGTTTGCCAATACCAGCACTTCATAGTGGTACTCGGTGTAGCTTACTTTAAAAAAAAATGCATCCTTTTTATTTTTCTTTTTATTTCTTATTTATTTATTTTTATTTTATTTTACTTTGTGTTTTGAGATAAAGTCTCTATGTAGCCCTGGCTGTCCTGGAACTTGCTATTTATAGTAGGTTGACCTCAAACTCACAGAGATCCACCTGACTCTGCCTCTGCCTCTCGAGTGCTGGGACTAAAGGCGTATGCCCAGCTTTTTAAAAAAAGTGTCTTTTCAACATTACACAAAGAAGTATGGTAGACTCAGTAAACGAACATTGCATCTCTCTATCCTGCTTTTCTGCGTATTAACTTTACTGTTCGCAATAGAGAGGAGGTGGCCGCCTAGGTGTCAGGAAAGATAATGAAAAGCATGGTTATTTGCAGCAAGGGAAGCTCCCACAGAGCATTTAAAACCATGGCCCTAGGAGCGGCTAAAGGGGGAAACTAGAAGTGTTAGCTAGTGAATGGAGGGCGTGGGATGCCAGCCTTCTGATTCCTGATTCTGTCCGTCCTGGGCACCAGGTGCAGTGTAGGAGAGCATCTTCAGTCCACTCGCAGCCCCTGCAGTTCCCTGCCTGGCAGAGTCCAGGGAGAGTGAGAGATTACAGCACTCCTCCTAAGCAGGCCAGGAAGTGAGCACGTGCTGACCCTGTGTCTGCAGCTGCACCTGCAGGGGTGCCGAGCGGGTGGTGCGGCCACCTCCATCTGTTTCCCTCCGCCTGCCAGCCTCACACCACATTTCCTTCTCGCCTTTGACAAGCTGTCTGTGCAGTCTAGAGCATTCTCTTCACCCTGCGCCATGTGTCAGACATAGCTGGAGCCGCTTCACCTGCTGTGCCAGGCACTTTCCAAAATTAGGTGTTTATTTTGAAATAAGCAGTGCAGGTTCTGAGCACCGAGACCTAGAAACCGGCCAGCGATCTGTCTCCCTCTGTGAGCTCAGCGCAGGAGTGTTATCAGGCGGTCAGGTGTCACCATGCTGGCTTTGCCTCCTCCTGGCATGTGCTTGTGCCCTCCCTGCTGCCCCAGCTTCTTAGGAGGAAGCGTATCTACAAAGACGTGCTCCTAACCGGGCTTTTTGCTTGTTTCTAAGCTCTTTTGAGATGTATGCGGTTGAAAAGATGATGTCCAGCTACATAGAGGCAGACGTAATTCACATGAGCATTAACCACCAGGTTTGGCAAAGATTTGTATGAAAATGTTGTAGAGGGCCAGTGAGATGGCTCAGCGGGTAAAAGCACCTGCCCCGCAAGCCTGTGTTCGGATCCCTAGAACCCAAGCCAAAGTGCAAAGTGACAACCTAGGATTGTCTTCTGACCTACATACATGCTCTGTGGCACACATGTCCCCTCATACGTATTCAGATGTGCACATTCATTACATATCCCATTTTTAACAAAATGAAAGTTTGTTTTTTAATGTATTCTTTCTTGATTTCATACATATATAATTACTTTGACCATAAGCCCCCATTATCCATTATCACCCTTCCCTCTAATTCCCAAGAAGTCCTCCAGTGTTCATGTCCTGTGCTGCCCCACTCACCTCCTTGCAGGGAACGGGTGGATGGGGAGTGGCCCACTACATTTAATTAGGGTCACTTGCTTGAGCACAGGTTGGGAGTTGCTTCCCTGAGCAAGAGGATCTTACCAGTGGTCGCACCACTCAGAACCATGACTCCATGATTTTTGTTTTTGAGACAGGGTCTTGTGTAGCCTAGGCTGGCCTTGGACTTCCTTGGACTCCTGTTCTTACCACCAACTCCCAAGTGCTGGGATTGCAGGTGTGAGTATAGCACCTGAGTCAGCTTCGTCTTTATGTCTTATGTCTCTATGTCTTATGGTACGTGAGTCTTGGTAAAGATTTTCTTGAGAATAGTAGTTTCCAGTTGGGCATGGTGGCCTGTGCCTACTGTCCCAACACTCAAGAGAATCCCTGAAAGTTCAGGGCCAGCCTGGGATACAGAATAACTCTGTCTCAACCCTCTCACCCCTCCCAAAAAAAAAGAAATAGAAGAGAAAAAGAATAGTGATTAAGGCAGGTGGTGGCGCACACCTTTAGTCTCAGCACTTAGGAAGCAGAGGCAGGTGGATATCAGAGTTCGAGGCCAGCCTGGGCTACAGAGCAAGTCCCAGAACAACCAAGACTGTTATAGAGAAACCTTGTCTTGGGGGGAAAAAATAGTAGGGATTAACAGTCAAAAAGATTGTCATTTTTATCTTTTTCCCAAAGAGTGGAATCACTAAATATGCAAATATTAATCAAGCATCAGGAGGAGGATGCTTGCAAGGAGGAACTTGAGGACGAGCCTCATGGAAATAGCTGTGCTCCATCCTGTAACACCCTGGAGCTGCTTATGACTTAGGACTCCCTCTTTAGATGGCAAACCAAAAGCCAACTTCTGTCAGTTGAAACAACTCATTTGCTCAGGTGATATCTGGGTTCAGTTAGATTTGGTTTGGGACGGGGAGCTAGATGGATGATCTCATGGCAGCCTTGGCACAGGCTTCATTCTCAAACCTGCTCTGGTCTCATGAGCCCCTGGACCTCAGGCCGACAGCTTTACTGCTAGGAGAGAGAGGAGTGATCTTCCCTACCCCGAGGACCACACCCTAAAATAGAGTCTGGCTCTGTGTGGCCTGACTAGGCCACATGCTGTGGCTAGGACATCAACCAGCCTGGCCAGCCAGTCCGTATCATCACCCTCCCGGAGTCACCAGTTAGGTTAGTTCTGTGCAGCCAGAGTGGAAAATCAGGTGTGATGACAATGGCAGGAAGCAGAGGTGGCCAAGGTAGGTGTTACCCTGTTTACTTAAGAGCCAGGCTCAGCTGAAAAGTGGTAGTGCATGCCTTTAGTCCCAGAACTCAGGAGGCAGACACAGGCTGACCTCAAACTCACAGAGATTCACCTGCCTCTGCTTCCTCGCCTAGGATTAAAGGTATGCGTCACCACCACCTGGCCTAATTGTGTTTTTGTCTCCAGGTGTTCTGCTAGGTTCAGGAGGTTAGGAAACACCAGTTGCTAGGCAGGATCTTGGAGACAAGAATGTCGTTCTCTTCCATTGCAAAGCCAAGGTTTTAGAAGATGCATCTTTTTCTGAGCGCTTGTTTGTATTCATTCCGTAACACTGTCTATCCTTGTGATCTCAGACAGATGGATACCGAGCAACTACCCAATCACTGAGAACATCCGAGCCATATACTTGACATTAGAGAAACTCATTCAGTCTGAAGAGACCCAAGTGAACGGAATTGTAATTCTTGCAGACTACAAAGGTGTCAGCTTATCAAAAGCATCTCATTTTGGCCCTTTTATAGCCAAAAAGGTGATTGGCATCCTTCAGGTATGGGCCCCTGTTCATCATGTACCCATTCTGTGGTTGCTTTGCTTTTCCCATGACCTGTCCACTTGCTGCTGTCATATGGGGACTATAGGAACCCCACTTCCCATTGCAGTGGCCTGCTCCACATGTCACAGCTGTAAAGACTGAGCTCTTAGTTATTGACATGCCCCTTGCATGCTGCCTCATGTGAGCTGTGAGGTGCCTGGTGCACTGCCCGTCACTGAGGTCCACAGATGTCCAAGCCCTTGCTGTGAATTGACTTAAACAGACTACTTGGCTGTTGGCCATCATCTTACTTTATTTTGTTTTTTTGAAACAGAATCTCTTGTGCTCCAGGTAGGCCTCAAACTTGATATGTAGCCAGAGAATTACCCGGTCCCCCTGCCTCCACCACCATGCACACCTCCAGCATTGTCAACTGGAAAGTCTGGTTTTCCTTAGCTTCTACTGTTTTTTTCTTGTGCTGGGAATGCAACTCAGGACCTCATGTATGCTAGGCAAACGCTCTACCACTGAGATACATCCCTGGCTTAATGTTTTATTTTGTTTTTAATTATTTTATGTGTATGGGTATTTTGCCTACATCTGTATCTGTGCACATGTGGTTGGTGTCTGAGGAGGCCAGAAAGCATCAGCTTCCCTAGGACTAGGGTTACAGACAGCTGTAAGTTGCCATGTGGGTGCTGGGAATTGAACCCAGGTCCTCCAGAAGAGCAGCAGTACTCTTGGCTGCTATCTATCCAGCTCCTGGCTCTGGGTTTTGATGGCTCCTGTTGAATCACACACACACACACACACACACACACACACACACACACACACACACACAGTGTTGGGTTTGGATCTGTATTTTCTACTAATGTAAGATCACCCAGAAGGACCAAAATTCCAAAGTTAAGTAAGTTTGGAAACTGTGACGTAATGTGTCCCTTTCTGGTGAATTTCACTGTCAACATCAGGATATTAAAGCTTGTGAACAGAACTACACTTAAAGATACACCCCCTCCTTATTTAAATGGACCTGGAGATTGAACCTAGAGCCTTGCATGTTAGGCAAGGGTTCTACCATTGAGCTAAAGTTCCAGCCCTTTTTAAAACACAGATTTTATAGCCAGGCGGTGATCGCGCACACGGAGGCAGGGGCAGGCAGATCTCTGAGTCCAAGGCCAGCCTGGTCTGCAGAATGTGTTCCAGGATAGCCAGGGACATTACACAGAAAAACCCTGTCTTGAAAAAACAAACAAACAAACAAAAAGCCACTTTACATCTTGAGATAGGGTTTCCTGAGTGGCCCTGGCTGTCCTTGAAAGTACTCTGTAGATTCGTTACTTTTCTGGTGCTGTGGTGAAACACCATGACCAAGGCGACTTCTAGGAAAAGAAGTTTATTTCGTGTATGGTTCCAGAGAGGGCAGTCTATCAAGAGTCAGGCATGGCGGCAGCACAGGAAGCTGAAAGCTCACATCTTCAATAGCAAGCACAAAACAGACGTGTGCTCTTAAAGCCTGTCCCCAGTGACATACTTCTGCCAGGAGGCCACTCCTCAACTTCCCAAACAGTGCCGCCCAGTGTGACCAAGTGTTCAGATGCCCAAACCTACAGGGGACATCTCATTCAAACCACCACACTCTACCTCAGACAGGCCTTGAACTCACAATTATCCTAGCTCAGCTTCCTGAGTAGCTATGGTTACAGGCCTGAACCACTAAGCCAGGCTAAGGAAACCTATGGGACTATGTAGGCCAGTATATTCCTGGCTTCACGAATTTCCCAAGCAGATCTGCTTTCACATCATATCTGGTACACCATGGGAAGTACACTTGGGCTGCTCCTACCTGGGAGGTCTGATGTTTTCCAGCTCTTTCTCTGTGGTCTTGGACCACTGTTTGTTGCTAAAAGAGCCCTCCCACCTGCTATCTTTGCCCAGCTCTTCTGACCCAGACATCCTCAAAAACTTGTCTCTTGTGATTGACACCAGGGCTGTCTGAGGCGGCTGTGAGAGTCAGAGCAGACTGGTGCTGGGCTTGTGGTTTAGATGAGGAGGGCAGCTGCAGAGGAGAGGGTACCAGATACTACTACCTATGTTCTAACATGGCATCCCTTCCACCCACAGGATGGCTTCCCCATTCGGATAAAAGCAGTCCACATAGTGAACGAACCTCGGATATTTAAAGGCATTTTTGCCATCATAAAACCATTTCTGAAGGAGAAAATTGCAAACAGGGTGAGCGATTTCCTTTGAACTTGATACTTTTTAAAAAAAATTCCCTTGATTTTTTTTCTCACTTGATTTATTGTGACACGTAGAGCATCATTATTTTGTCCAGAAACTAATTTGGAAGTATAAGGTACTTAGACTTAACATGGCCCATCCTTTTCATGAGGGGAAGATGGAACTAGTAAGGATACATTGTTTGCCAATAACGAGAACAAGACGAGGGTGTTGTGTTACTGCAGGGCCTCGTGTAGCCCAGGCTGATTGGTGGGATTTTTATAAGCTGCCTCCCTGTTCTGTAATCTATTCAGACTTCTGGTCTCCTGTCTTAGACACTGTGAACCAACACTGCATCTTATGTGTAAGAGGATTTGGCTAAGGGAAATAAGGGGTCACAAGCAGACAGACTGATCATAGCTAACTCAGAGCTTCATGCATACTGAGTAAGTGCTGTACTGCTAAGTGACGCGGCCAACCCTGGAAGACACTTGCAAAAGAGGATCTTCCTTTCTGACACACAGAAGCCCCTCCTCTTCTCATCTTTCTCAGGGCCACTGATGCAAATGTGGTAGTGACATTTTTATCCTCTTTCCTTGCACCCAGAGACATTGAGGTCACTCCGAGGGCTGGATTTCTTTCACACTTTTTCTTTTGTTTTAAAAATCTTTTAATTTTAAAGTATGTGTGTGTAGGCGGAGTTTCTCTGTGTTCTGGCAGCCACTCCCAAACAACCACTTAAAGATTTATTATTAATTATAAATGCTGAGCCAATAGCTCAGGCTTGTTACTAGCTACCCTTACATTTTAAATTAATCCCTATTTCTTATCTATGCTCTGCCACATGGTGGTACCTTCTTTCAACATGGCATGTCCATCCTGCTTCCCTGTTTCTGCTGGAAACTCCTCAGACTCCACCCGTCTTCTTCCCAGCATTCTCTCTGCCCTGAAAATATTTCTTAGCTATCAACCAATCAGCTTTTTATTAATAATGAGAGCAACACATTTTCACAGTGTGCAGAGGATTATTCAATAGCATGCATGTGTGCAATACACAAGGAGGCCAGAAGAGAGCATTGATTCACCCTGGAATTGGAGTTACATGTGGTTGTGATCTACCTGATGTGAGTGATGTGAACCAAACCCAGGTCCTCTGGAAGAGCAGTAAATGCTCCTAACTTCTGAGTCGCCTCTCCAGCCCAGTTTCTTTTTCTTTCTTTCTTTCTTTTTTTTTTTTTTTAAAAAGCATCTAAAAGTAGAGAATCTCAAGGTTGTAAGAGCTAAAGCTTAAAATCCAGCTCCAGATTCCCAGGCCCTTTCCCCGAGCATATTAACAGAGAAGAGTCTGTGTAATTCTGATCGATTAGCCTTGAAGGCTGCTGGCTGGGTGTGAGCCCCCGTTGGTTCCTGGCCTCCCTTTCTTTTGCTGTAATAAAACACAAAACAAAAGTCACTTGGGACAAAGGGGTTTATTTTGGTGGAGGGTGAAGTCCCTGGTTGAGTGGCACCCAGGGTGAGAAGACAGTGAAGGCAGGGTAGCAGCTGGCTTGCTCTCTCCAGTACTTGCACACCAGGATCTAGCCCTGCCTGGGGATTGGTCATACCCTCAGTTACCACCCCTCTCCTCACCTCAGTTAAACCTGATAAACACAAAATTGCCCACAGGCATGTCCAGAGGCCTGTCTGCCAAGTGATTCTGTCTCGATTAGCATTTTACCTGCGGCCCTTGGAAAGATCTTTCGCATCTTTGAAATCCTTATTCATGTTCCATTTGTTCCCTCTGCTCACACACTCACTCAAAAGTATAATCAGTCAACTTTATATGGACCATGGGAAGAACAGGTCCAGATCTTTACCCCAAGATCCTCACACTCTGGAAAGGCACACAGAATGGATTGTGTGATGAAGGGGTTATGTACTCACTGGGGTAGTTAAAGCCGGTACCAGTGAGAAGATCTGTGAACAGCAACTGGGAGACCAGCATCGGATAATGTTGAGGTGTGGGAGGGTATCCAGCCTGGAAGAGCAGGTAAGAAGCCGGAGCTGAGGGATGGTGAGAACGATGAGTAAATCAGACTGTGACAGGCTTTGTGGGCTGTGAGAGCCACACTGGAAGGAGGGCTGTAGTGGTAGAAGGCCACTGGTAGGCTCTGAGAAATGGTGGTGGCCTGGGACTGGTAGGGTGGTAGTGAAGTAGTTAGTTACATCATGACTCACTGGAAGTTTCTCAGTGGGGTGTGCTAGAGAACTGAGGGACCCCAGGCTCCTGGGGCTAAGGAACTTTCTTCACTCAGCACCTACCACAGGGAGATTGTCGCATTACTGATTCTCCCCAGCACGTGTGTTTGTGCTTTAAAAAAAAAAAAAAGTTTTACAATGTCTTAGGTTTCGATTGCTATAATAAACCTATAACCTAAAGTATCTTGGGGAAGAAAGAGTTGGCTACATATCCCTGGTCACAGTCTACTGACGGAAGCCAAGGCAGGAACCTAGAGGCAAGAACTGAAACAGACTATACAGGGATGCTTCTTACTGGCTTGTTCCTCATGGCTTGCCGTTTGCTATTTTATATACCCCAGAACCACCTTCCCAGGGATGGCACTGCCTACAGTGGCTTGGATCTTCCCACATCAATCAAGAAAATGTCCTGAAGGCCAATCTGATGGGGGCATTTTCTCAAATGAGGTTCTTCTCTTTCAAATGATTCTAGCTTGTATTAAGTTGACCACAAAGAACTAACCAGCACAATTAGCATATATTAATCTATAATCATTTCATTATGGCATTATCACTCCTCATTACCCTCTTGTCCTCCTCTCATGCCCATTGTTCCTCTTCAAGTAGTCCCCCTTCTACAGTCTTGTCTTTTTTGTCTGTTTTGTTGATCCGAGTTTATTTAGGATCACTTACAAGGTCATGAGTAAAGGGCCATTTACAGGAACATGGATACTTACTAGTGGCTATAACACTGAAGAAAATCCCCCTACCCCCAGCAACTATTAACTGCCCATAGATCCTTAAAGGAGTAGTGGTCCTGCCCCCAACGCCATGATGGAATGTTGAAGGACCCAGTCTTGTGCCTGTGATCACAGTTGCTGAGTCTGTGCTTTTTATACTGTTGTGTTTTAGTTCTTTCTCCATGGGTCTGACCTGAACTCTCTCCATACAAGCCTTCCAAGGAATATCCTCCCCAGGGAGTATGGGGGCACAGCGGGAGAGCTGGACATCGCCACCTGGAATGCGGTGCTGCTGGCATCAGAGGATGATTTTGTAAAAGAATTCTGCCAGCCTGTGCCTGCCTGTGACAGTCTCCCAGGCCAGCCACTGCTGCCTGAAGGACTGATCTCAGATGCACAGTGTGATGATTCCATGCGAGCCGTGAAGTCCCAGCTCTACTCCTGCTATTAGCTCTCTTCTGGGAGTCACCGTGTATAATTCTTCATTCCTTAGAAAGGCACAAGGCTGAAGAAGCCGAGGCCTCAGTCTTGCTCCATCATTATGCAGCGACGGAGCTGCCTCTAAAGATTAAAGGTGAGCCCGCCTCAGGCAGACCACTGGCTATCTGCATTATTCCAGGGAAGACACGGAAACTGCCCTGGTGATTCCCAAATGTTTGCAACTGCTAGTCTGGATAAGCTGTCTGTATCTGTTTCTTACACATCTTGGAAGCAACCAGGGTCAAAGTCACTCTGAAGTAACTAGGAGACAAGTGGATTGATCACAACTCTGAAGCAGTTTGCCAGTCCTGAAAGATGGCCACACGTGAAACTGTTGACTCTCTTTCCCCAATAACCCTAGGTGTTGACCTCTGTTGCTCATCAGCAAGATTCAAGATTCAGGCCCTAGCTATCATCACTGGACCTAGAAAGCACTGTAAACTGAGCAGTACAAATACCGGGACCCAGGCAGTAGTTTTAGATCAAATTTGGAAGCCAGGTGCTTCAGAGCATCCCTGGGCTTCCAGGGTTGAATCTTGCAATAGAAACTTTTCCCAAACCTATAAAGCCTTAGCTCTGGTTCTCCATGGGATCATACTGGTCAACATAAAATACTGGATTTCCAGACAATGTGAGTAATGCATTTGGACTAGGAGTCATGTGGCTGGACAAGGCATGGACCTCAGCTTTGTCATTTCTAAAAGTAAGCTATGTGGGATGGTTCTTTGAGGTGCTGAAATTGTTGGGTTTTCTGCTTGCAAAGATGACCACCTAGAGGTGGTTGGGTCTTGGTTTTTTGTGGTATGTACACAAGCCTTATGTAAAGGAGTATCACCATTTGGCTGTGCCTTTGGTGGTAACCAACTGCCTTTGTAGAATGATGGGTGACCTTGAAAGGGATGGCTTTTGCGAGGCTGACCAAATCTTGTACAAACCCTTCCACCCTGGAGACACTAGTAGTATATCAGAAACAGTCACAGTAATGGCCAGCTTTGGGCTTCTTCTATTTTTGTCTCTGGAAACACACTGGGCCAGATTGTTGCTGGTATACCTGGGGCCCAGCAGACTGTCTAGTGTGGATGAACCAGTTGGCCAGAATGTTAGTTTTGCATTTAGGCACTTTAGACACCTGTCAAAATTTTAGCCTTAACCCAAGCTTTGAGGGAATTATCTCCTGGTTTTTGACCTGTTACCTTTGGTATTCACCGAGTATTATGATTAGTGTCAACTGCTGTTGGTTGTGTATTTACTAGAGTAAGCAGGCATGTAAGTGGCTTTGAGACTCAAAGGTCGGTCAATTGTTACTAAATTTCCTAAAACATCTACAGTTCTTTTTTTTTTTAATTTATTTATTTATTATGTATACAGTATTCTGTCTGCTTGTATTCCTGCAGGCCAGAAGAGGGCACCATACATCATTACAGATGGTTGTGAGCCACCATGTGGTTGCTGGGAATTGAACTCTGGACCTTTGGAAGAGCTCTTAACCACTGAGCCATCTTTCCAGCCCACATCTACAGTTCTTAATTGAAACTTACCACAATAATGCCAATTCTGGGAAACATTCTTTTCACCTAGATGCTAATCCTTGATCTTTTAGATCCTGGCTGAGCTTAAGTGCCAAAACACACCAGTCTTGACTGCCCAGAGACCATTTACTAAGTTTCTGCTATTTGGTTTAGTTCCTGGCAGGTTTTCTGCCTACAGGGATGACCACTCACACACCTGGAAAAATCCATGATGGCTCTGAACCCAGAAACCTGGGCAAGAGACTCTATTAACAGCTTTCTTAGGTCCTAAAGAGGAAGAGAGCACAAGAAAAAAGAATAGACAAAGGGAGCTGGGCGGTGGTGGCGCACACCTTTAATCCCAGCACTCAGGAGGCAGAGACAGGCGAATCTTTGTGAGTTCGAGGCCAACCTGGTCTACAGAGCTAGTTCCAGGACAGGCTCCAAAGCTACAGAGAAACCCTGTCTTGAAAAAAAAAAAAACCAAAAAGAAAAAGAAACAAGACAAAGGGAAAGATGAATTCCTTCCCTGGTTTAAATCCTGTCACATGACTAGCTAGTTCTTTGTTTAACAAAGGGCAGCCAGGCTCACTGGGAAAAATCTCAGAGCATAAAGCACCCAGTTTGCTAGGCCTTTCTTGATTAGGGAGCCATTCCATCAAGCCTGAAAGCGTGGGTCTGCTGTCCCCACAGCTGCCTGCTGACTCTAAAGATCAGTCTTGGCACCTGTGGTTTGAAGCCTGTGAGGCCAGGACCTCCTGGTGTAAAAGCAGCTGGTGTGCTGAGCAAGGGATGCAGCAAAGCTTCAGTTGCGAGGAACACTGGTAGAGGCACCAAGTGAGCTGACTTTAGGGGTAAAGTATCTGACTTTAAAGTTCTAGACATTTTACAGATAGCTAAAAATGAGCTTTTCCTAAAATTCAAGGTTATATGGTGTTGGGAAGGAAAAGCGATAGTGAAATAGAAGTGGGTCCCAGCTTTATAGTTCTACTTGGCACCCCTGATCACTAGACAAAGAGGCTTGTACACTGAACTCTCAATCCTGTTCCTAATTGGTTCTCTGGCCATAAGGGCACTCTTCTCTGCTTTTTAAAAACAAAGGTCATTTAAGAATGTAGGTAAGGGAATAGGTGCTGCAATATGCTAGTGTAGGGATATGGGAGTTCCCTTCTCTTGCCCAAGTCCACTACAGACTTCCACTAAATTCTGATCCCTGAAACCTATTGTTCCTTCAGTGGAGGGATACAGATAAAATCTACAGCAACAGCCAGAGTGCTGGCTTCACACCTTGGCTTTCTCTGGGCACAGGCCGGTTAAACCACTCTCATCTCATCCTAGGCTTGTAAGCACCTCAGGTTACAGGACTTCTTCAGAAATGCAGGCATTCCCTCTGAATATCTGGGACAGCCTTACGATCCAGCAGGCAGTTTGGTGGATGTCATTTCATCCTCATCATTCATGGACCTTGCTTTTTCATCTGGGCAGCAACAGCTACAGTGCTGTTGTGGCACTATAATACCTCATCTTGAAGTCATGAACTTCAGGTTTTCCTGTGGAATCTCCTTTAGGAAGGAAAACGTTCACTCGATGTACATGTAGCTGTCCTATGGTCATGTCAGGCTGGAACACCAATGGTTGCTCAGGACAGCCAGCTATCTTGCTAAGGCGCTCAGTATTGCCATCTGTTCACTCTAAATCTCAAGCAAATTTCTTTCTGCTCTCCCAACTCAGAAATGCTCAGCTTCAAATGCAAGAAGCACCACCAAATACTTCTCCATGGGAGCTAACTCCACAGGAAGGCTCAGTATGACTTGCAGTTGGAGACTACATGTTTATAGGTTTTTGATTACCTGGGGTCCTGTGTGTGTGTTTTCAATCTCAATGGAGGCTTTTTCCACCAGGCAGTTAAGTGGTGGCTGCTTTGGAGTCTCCTGGATGTGCCTCGGCTTCTTGGCATAGCACACAGGAACCCAACAGGTAAATACTTGAAACTTCCCAGCGGCCAAGACCTCCAATACCCTTCTGACCGGTGGGAATGGGGCTGTTTTCCTGAGCAGTCTAGGCTACTATTTTAGCCCATGGTCACGTTCCTTACTTCAAACTGAAATTCAGTTTGACTTTGAGTTTAGGCACATGTGGTGGATTCATCTACTTCAGTGTTTGTTTTGACCAAAAGTTTATTTTTCTAGTGCATTTTTCTAAGTGGTGAAAATATGTAATTTTAGTATGCATGACTGGACCTCCAACAATAAAAATCTCTGTAAGGCTGAATGTGTACTGTGCTTTTGTTCTTAAAACAAAACCTGGATGTAGTCCTGGTGACCTGAATAAACACAGGTTTCCTAACCATGGGCCCAAGTACAGCTTCCTGCCCTCTAGATGGACTTGGGAGGGGCATTGTGGCAGGCACTGGCTGCCACTGAAGATCATGAACACTTAGAACACACCGCTACTTCTTGGCCTTTTGACTAAGATCAAGTGGAACAATGGGGGTCTAGTGATGTCCAAGCTGACCCCAAACTTGAGCCTCAGCTTCTAGAATGTTTCTCTGAAAGATTGTCACTCCACCCATCATGCCCTCCTGATACAGGATCCATCCTGGCTTGGAATGTCCTTGGCAAGCTAATTAACATTAGAAAGAAAAATGACCTTAGTTCCACACAGTGGTAGAGGCATGCATTTTTCAGTTCCCAAGACTTGAGATCTTTCTCTGGACTGGCCCTGAATCCTTCCAATGATTCCTAAAGAGCTCCTGTGGCATGGGCAGATGTGCCAAGTACACAGAGTACATCATTTCATTTACATCTTCAGATACTATGAAGTATATTGCTCCCATGAGAAAAACAGGGCCCAAAAATGTTAATTAGCTTGCCAAGGACATTCCAAGCCAGGATGGATCCTGTATCAGGTATGAAGTAATGACCCTGAGTGAGGCTCAGGACTTGCATGCTCAAGGTCACAAGCACACTAGTACTCAGTAAGCATTTGAAGGCCAGTTAATAGCTAGAAAAGAGCATAGCTCAGACAGAGAGACCTAGGAGGTCTGACTCCCAAACCTTTATCATTTGAAAGGACAACTTTCATCCTTTTGATACAACCAGGATCCCAAATAGAACCTATCTACACAGATTAAACCAGAATCTCCCAGAAATCAATCTCTCCTATCCACTTTAAACACTAATGTGAAAGGGTCTAAGCTATCAATTTCCCCCCAAACCCTCTTTACTTCTCTATTTCAAATCTCAGATAAATTGCCCTGGTATCTGGTATGAACCAAAGTTACAAATCCTAAGGGCATTCTCACTAGGAAGTCCACTGTACTAGCCTCTATCTAGGACCTCTCCTCATGAGTTGTCCCATGTTGGTCAGCTCATTTTCATTAACTTTAAGCCCAAGAAAGAAGAATGTGTATCTTTCATGTCTTCACCCCTACAGGGTGTAGTACAGACACTTGGCCAGATTCTGTTGAAAAGCCTACTTTATTATTTATTCCTACTGGGCTGCTTTTCAGTACTATCTTCTTTGACAGGGTCTTAACTACCTCTTACTTACTTTGGTCTTTACCAGAGAAAATATTAGGGATAGTTTCTAAATGAACGTAAGACTTCACTTACTAGTCATATCTTAAGTGCCAGAAGAGAAGCAAAGCATCTGCCTGAAATGTCAGATTGACAGGCGACTCTCCAAACAAGCAAACAAATAATACTGACCAAAGCCAATTGAAGAAGGAGCCTTAAGAAACTAGGTATGGTATCTCAGAGCTACATTTTAGTACTTGGAAGCTAAGGTAGGATTTGAGTTCCAGACAAGTCTGGGATACAAAGAAAAGACCCTTTCTAAAAAAACAAACAAACAAACAAGAAACTAAATATCTATTTTAATCAAGTACTTTTATAATGCAAATGTAATAAACTAACATGCCTCTGACTTTTACACACTTATAACAAGATCAGTACATAACACTGCAGCATTTTCCCAAGTGAACTTTCATTTAATCAAATCTACAAAGCATTTACTGGGATGACATATCTGACAAAGCCACAGACTTCTATCAAGCAGCAGTATAGTATAAAAAGTAAAGGAACTCAATAGCCTTCTCTCAGCCTTATCAGCAGCCAGGTTTCTGGGGAAGGACCTACATCCATAATTCCTTTCCACAAACCAGGATGCTACCTCTGAAGAACCAATGGAAGAAACAGTGTGCCTGTGTCACTCACCAAAGACCTCTACTGAGGAAACTGTGGATTAATGCATTCCTTTTTTGGTTTTTAAGGAAACTGAAATAGAAATATATTAAAGATAGCCTCAAATATCCATCAATCTTCTAACTTACATTTTAGACCCAAGTAGGAATCTACAGGTCTTTATAAAGAACTCTCTTCACAGCACAGCTGTAGTTCACGCTAAAACACAAAATGTTCCCTTTGTGCTATAGCCTTACAAATAAACATATGTATATATATATGAAAGTTCAGATTCTGCATCAAGCATTATTCATTTCTTGCCTTTTGATATAAACATTAATACAGCCAAATTTGTAAAGCGTTCACTTAACAGTTTAGTGGATGAAACAAGAAGGGATTATGTGTTTTCAGCAAAGAAGCTTTGTCAGCTTTAGCAGTATCCTTGGCACTCCAAAGCTCAGCTGAAGTCCCGACCTGTGAGGATGAGTGGAGCCACAAGAGTCCAGAGGTAAAGGAGGAGGCACACCCAGCTGGAGCCCATTTTGACCCACACAGCTAGCCAATTGCTGGATACTTTCTGGAACTTGGCATCAGGACTAAGAAAAACAAGAAGGGGGAGAGGAAGGAAACTTAATATTGTGAAGCTGAATCCTTCCCATACCACTCACTCACCCTGGCCAATGCCAAGAAACCCCTCAGGGAGACTTTGCTACTACTATTAACCTAGGATGGTTCTAGTAGGGACTTGAGAAGCTATTTTAAGTTACTATGACCAACAGACTCTGCCTCTCAAACAGCATTTTCCTTCTTGCTAACATGAAAGATATAACTATTCTTTTAGCAAGGTTCTTATGTACCTACCATCTGAATTATTCTAGTTACTAGCAAAATGGAAATAGTCTCCCTGAAATGGTTCCTGCTTAGGATATTATTACCTTGACAAGAAGACTTTAATATTGCCTTTCTAAAAGCACAGGAAAAAAATATATCAGTATCAGGCCAAATGGTTTTATGCCATGATTTTCTTAAAGCGACCAATAATTTGAACCACAAAGAATTCCTACTGGGTTCTATTTCAAGCAGGGCATGTTAGCACATGCTCTTAATCCCAGGAGTTAGGTGGATGTAGCAGAACAAGAGCAAGTTTGAAGCTAGACCATCTAAAACAAACAAAAAGGACTCCAGAGAAGGACACTAAATACCGACAGCTTCATTCTCTGAGACAGAGAAGGACACCATAATAAGGACAATTCACTTAGATATATAGGCATTCCCAAGGGCTGAGTATTCTATCTTTGTCTGTTCCTCCTACCTGTACCAGCTGGTTATGGTCATCATGATGTACAAAGAAGCACAGCAGAGCATCAAGTGAAAGAAGGAGTAATTATACTGCACCCCCTCCTTCTCATTGTCCACAGCCCGACGAGGCTGTCCATCTTCTTCATCATTGGCTCCATTGGTGGTGTCACCAAGGATAACACTGTCACTCCCAGAGAGGGTCAGCTTGTTAACTTGGCTATTGCTTGAAGTACGGATGCTGGAAAGTAATCCCAAGAAAATCACATCAAAAGGGAGCCATCTCAGATGTCTTTGACCCATGTATGACTAAGTTATTTCTGGGCTGTTCCTACTTTGGACATAGAAAGCCTGCTAAAAGCCCTATCCAAAGATACAACCTGCTGCCTATTAATTACAGGATGGTGCTCTTCTTAGTAGTTGCTACTTCATGGCTCAATTCCAGAAGCACGCTACCCAGTGTCTCTTCTACTGCAACATAACTGCCTCTACTATGCTTGTAATATACCACCTACCTCTTCCTAGCCAACTTATGTAGAAAGAGACTGCTCGTTCATTTCCTGGCTGCCCAGACTCAAATAATCACACAGAAACTGTATTAATTACAACACTGTTTGGCCTATTAGTTTATGCTTCTTATTAATTAATTCTTACATCTTAAGGTATTGCCACAATGCTGTGGCTTACCAGGTAATTTCCAGGTGTCTATCTCCTTTGGCAGCTACATGGTGTCTCCTTGACTATGCCTATTCTCTCTATATATATATCTCTGTTCAGATTTCCCAACTGGCTTTACTCTAAGCCACTGGCCGAAACAGTTTTATTCATTAACCATGTGGGACATTCTTCTGTATATGTGCTGCTTTTATTGGCTAATGAATATAAAGAAGCTGCTTCAGCCTATGGCAGGGCAGAATATAGCCAGGTTGGAAGAGATATAGAGAGAGAATAGGCAGAGTCAGAGACATGCCATGTAGCTGCCTAAGTAGACAGATGCTGGATCCTTACCAGTAAGTCACAGCCTCATGCCGAAACATAAGATTAATAGAAATAGGTTAATTTAAGATTTAAGAGCTAGCTAGAAACATGTTTGAGGCTTTGGCCAAACAGTGTTGTAATTAAAATAGTTTCTGTGTGATTATTTAGGTCTGAGCAGTCGGGAAACAAGTCAGCAGTCTCTGACTACACACTTATTCATCCTTCACTTCTGTCTCAGTGCCATGACCTCTTGAAATTCTTCCCTGGTATCATTCCTCCCTATGACAGGTGAGAGGCTTCTTCCTACTTCCCAGTGATCTCTAGGTGTCCTGTCCCAGCACTTGACAATCCTGCCTTGAGAGGAATTCAAAGAACTCCTTAACATCAACTATAGGCATCTGGATTTCCAACACTGCAGACGCTCACTAGAATGAATTAATGGCTAAAGAAAAAATATAAATGACATAAACTACACGATCATTTCAACAGATAAAGCATATGACAAAATTTAGTATTTTTCAAGATGAAAATACTCAAAGTGACGGTAATGGCAGTCCACACATTTAATCCCAGCACTCAAGAGGCAGAAGCAGGTGGATACTTACTCTGTAGCCTGGTCTACAGAGTTAAGTTCCAGGACAGCCAAGGCTACACAGAAAAACCCTGTCTTAGAGAAGGAAAAGAAAGAAAGAAAAAGAAAATATTCAAAGAAAGAAAGAATATAGACTTTTCAACTGATAGGAGCCCATCAGTAAACACAAAACCAGCAAGTGTCATACTTAATAATGAAAGACAAAAACTAAAAAC